GGTCACACTTGGACTACCTCCAGTGGCAGGATGCTCACTGACTCTGGAGGTAGACAGTCCCTGACTTGAGAAAATATGTACCCATACTTTTTATTAATGTAGCCCTTGTAGAAAAGCTAAACACAGACCTACATGGAATCTAAAAAGGGCAAGTCCCCAGCAGCTCACTGATGAATGTTATTCACGTATACATGTTTTCCCCTCCATATACTGGGAACTGTGTGAAACAGTTCATTTTTTTTTTTGAGAATATTCTATATACTTAGCTGCAGTTTTTGTCATTTGACATTTTGAATGTCTGCATTAGTGCATATGGATTAGCCTAATTCTTTTTAATGACTACCACATATGGTACATATCAGAGTTTATTCAACTGATGTCTTTTTTAAAAATACTTTTTTTTATTGATTTCAGAGAGGAAGGGAGTGGGAAAGAGAGATAGAAACATCAATGATGAGAGAGAATTATTGATCGGCTGCCTCCGCCATGCCCTTTGCTGGGGATCAAGCCCGCAACCCGGGCATGTGCCCTGACCATGACCTCCTGGTTCATAGGTCAGTGCTCAACCACTGAGCCACACCGGCCTGGTCAACCAATGTCTTATTGATATATATTTGAGTTGTTCCCAGTTTTTGTGCTCTTAGAGATAATAATACAATGAACATTCATTATCTTAACAGTTCTAAGTACAAAGCTTTTTTTTTTTCTATTGGCCAAACATCCTCCTAACTTCTACTTATTGGTCCTAAAAACAGTTGCCATCTTCAGACATGGTCTGTTTTGCCGATGTCTAAAGTGTAGTGATGGAACTGAACACTGTTTTAATTGTGGTTTCACCCGAATGGAGAACATGGGATTGTCTATTATTTTATTATTTTTCTTAAATATGTTTTTATTGATTTCAGAGAGAGGAAGGGAGAGGGAAAGGGGGATAGAAGTGTCAATGTTGAGAGAGAATCATTGATTGGCTGCCCCCTGCACGCTTCTTACTGGGGATCCAGCCTGCAACCCAGGCATGTGCCCTGACTGGGAATTGAATCATGACCTCCTGGTTCATAAGTTGACACTCAACCACTGAGCCATACCGGCTGGACTGATTGTCTTTTTTTTTGTCCATGATTTTATTACCTCTTAAAGCTATCATGTCACACATTGTTAGTTCATGTTGAGGATAGAGTCAGGTAAATCTTTACATTTGGAGTTGGTGGATCCCTGGAGTATCTGCTAAAAGCTGTGGACTTACCACTTCACCCTACCCCCCAAATGCATTAAGACAATTATTGCTGCAGTTTCAGGTGGTTCCTGGGTCTTCAGTGTTTCTCATTTCTTTATGATTACTTTGCTGAAGTCATAGATTCTCTCATCCTCTGTCAGTGCTGTTACATAGTCAAAAATTAAACCAGAGTGCTCACTTTGGCAGCACATATACTAAAATTGGAACGATACAGAAAAGATTAGAATGGCCCCGTACAAGGATGACATGCAAATTCATGAAGCATTCCATATTTTTTAAAAAGAAAAAGAATTAAACCAGAAATGGTCAGTTTTGCATTTTTTAGTGAGTCTCCTAGTGTGTAGTGGTTTCTTATTTGCAAGTGCTATTTTTTTTTTTTAAACAATCCAGGATCAGCCTCAAGCTAACCATTCTGTAGTTGAGAAATCTGGCTTCTAGTCCTCTCCCATTCTTCACAATTTCGACACAGATTACAGAAAGCAATTAAGCAGCCTTATCTGTGAAGCCTCTCAGGATCCCAGGATGTGATTTGTGAGATCAAATGACTTGAACTCAGTGAGGATATCTAGCTGGTTTTACTTTTTTTTCTCAGCCATCTTGGATTTAAGTTTCTTCTTAGTCATTGTATTTGATCTTCAGATTGGAAAGAATAAAACATTCTTAGCTGAGAATGGAAATAAAATAGGAGTAATGTTGTCTTTGTTAATATTACATTAACCACCTCATCCAGGGGAGACTTCACTTTTTCCTCTACTTTTTACTTTAACCTCTAAATTACCTTTTATTCAATATCTGGCACTCTATACAGTCACAATTCATTCAGAGGCTTTAGCCTTGTTCACAATTTTCTTACAGCTCCATTCCACTAATACTTACTTTATGTGCCTATTTGTGTGTGTGTGTGTGTGTGTGTGTGTGTGTGTGTGTGTGTGTGTGTGTCTGCGTGTTTTTACCATCTGTTGTAAGTGGTTTTTTAACATCTGAATTCCAGAAAGCTCTGTGCAGCACATTAGATTTTTTAGATACTTTACTTTTTTCTTCCCCTCATGCAGTCAGCATCATGTTTTTGAGAACCTCCAAGCTTTTGAGAGCCTTTACACAGTTTCTGATCTTGGAATCGATCCTAATTTTTCTTTGAAAAACTTGAAATCTGCCTATCCAATATGTGCATCATTCCCTTTCCTTTCTTGTTCTCCAAACAACACGACTGCTGGCTGCTTTCTCTGAAGCTTCCTTCTACTGATATGTTACTAATCATGAATTACTGGTAAGGATTAGATCCAAAGTAACAGTTTCTCTCATTTCTCCTCTACTTTCTGAAAGATTGAATTTTTACACAGACGGGAAGCACATCAGCAGATGCATTGACTTAAGCTGAGTGACACTTCAACAGATGTACCCTGGTCAGTAAAAAAGCTAGTAACTGCTATTATTTTTTGTACAGTACCCTATGACAGACACCATACTAAGTCCTTTTCACTTATATTTTCTTGCTTATCTCCTTTCTTAGGGTTATGAGGTGTAGATACTATTGTTATCCAGTAATTCAGATGAAGAAATGGGCTTAAGGATGTTGAATTTCTCAAGATTGCACAGCTTGTGAGTGCCAAAGTCAGATATTTCCTAAATCAGTTTTTTTTTTAGTATTGTTAATCCTCACCCGAGGATTTTTTTCTATTGAGTTTTAGAATGGAAGGAAGCGGGAGCGATAGAGAAACATAGATTTGGGAGAGACACATCGATTGGTTGCCTCCTGCATGTGCCCTGACTGGGGCCAGGTATCGAGCCTGCATCCAAGGTACATGCCCTTGACTGGAATCAAACTCGTGACTCTTCAGTCCCCAGGACAACCGTCTAACCACTGAGAAAACTGGCTAGGGCCTAAATCAGACTCTTAATCACCATACTGGGCTGTTTGACGTGGTGCTTAATTACTATGCTGGACAAGATTCTTATACTTCAAAACCTGTGTAGCTCTCAGACCACTGGCTGTGCACAGTAGGCTCTTAAATATTTAATTGGAGGTTGTTTCTTGTTGATTTCCAGGGTGGTATTGCCGTTTAGCTCTTATAAATCAATAAGAAAAAATGAGAAAATGGGTGAGGCACACTATTAGTCAATTCATAGAAGAAATGAATGGAAAATGAAAAAACTATTCATTTTTATTAATCAAATCTTTTGATGATTTTAGGAGATCCATTTTTAAAATGCAAGACTCTTGGTGCTCTCCCTCTCTGGAGCAGCACCCTTGCCTCCCCCCCCGCCATTGATCCCCCCAGACGCATTACAAGTGTGTAACTTTGCCTTTGTCTTTCCCTCTTTTTCCTTTGTAACTTGTTTTCTTAGCCCATTTCTTCTGTGGCTCACTTTTACTACCTCTGTAACTTTCTAAATAAACTTTCTCTTATAATTTGAAAAAAAATGGCAAGACTCTCTCATTTTATATAAATATGATACAGCCTTTTTCTGCTTGGCTTTCAACTTATCACTTTCATAAAGTACTCCCTTGGGTGTTTCAGGCCAGTTTGATAATCTTTTATATCTAAAGTTCTGTAGCACTCACAGATGTGCTGTACAGCTTCATACCTGTCAACTGCCTCATTTACTTATTGGTAAATGTGTATTTGTTTTCGTTTCCCCAAATATTTTTCTAAGTTCTCTGTGGAAACAGACCACATCTTATCCTTTAAAAATTTTTTTCCCTTTATTGATTTTTAGAGAGGAAGGGAGAGATAGATAGAAACATCAATGAGAGAGAAACATCATTGATCGGCTGCCTGCTGCACAGCCCCTACTGGGGATCGAGCCTGCAACCTTGGCATGTGCCCTGAACCGGTGACCTCTTGGTTCATGGGTCGATGCTCAACCACTGAGCAATACCAGCCGGGCTTATTCTTATTTCTACCTGTAGCATTAGCACAATACTTAAAAGTGTGCTTTAGCCCTGACCTGTTTGGCTCAGTGGATAGGGCATCAGCCTGTGGACTGAAAGGTCCCAGGTTCGATTCCAGTCAAGGGAATGTTCCTTGGTTGTGGGCACATCCCCAGTGGGAGGTTGTGCAGGAGGCAGCTGATCGATGTTTCTAACTCTCTATCCGTCTCCCTCCTCTCTGTAAAAAATCAATAATATATATATATTTTTAAAAATGTGCTTTATAAAATCTTAGTAACCATCTTAATTAGGTAGTTTTAACTTCAAAAATAAAATGAAAAAAATTGACCTTTTCTTGTCAACTGAATTCTTTTCCCCTCTGTGGAAACAGTATGGAGTTTCCTTAACTGAATTCTTAACTATAATAGTTGGTGATACCAAGTCTTTATGTGAAAAACCTACTGAGAATTTTGTGTGTTTTTACTAACTCACTAATTTAATTCCCAAAATTTTTCAGTCATGGTGATTCTTATACTGTTTCTTGTGGTTAAGAAAACCATGGTCATATTTTTCTCTGCCGTGACACCTCTGTCTGTCCTTGTAGCCACGGGCCTGACATATAATGGTGATTAATACATTTTAGAGGAATTTAGGTTGTGCCTGGAAAGTAATTTGTTTACTTTTAAAAGCTTGGAAATGTGCATAGGTTATTACAACTATAGATTGCAAAAAACAAATGTGGTAAAAGCTTTAAAAAAGTTTGTGATCTTAACAGGAAAAGCAGTTTCAGTAAAGTAAGCCTAAAACCTTACACTAACCGTCTTAGTGGGCTTTGATGTTTTATGTGCCATTGATGTTCTTTCTTTTGGTTAAATTCTATTACTTTTTTCTTAGGTTAAGACATCAGAATTTTACAGATACTCTCGACAGCTGCGCTACGAAGTTGAACAAGCATTGAATTACTTTCAGAACATTCACCATCAGCCTTTGTTGGACATGAAATCAAGCCGCATCCGCTCTGCCAAACCCCAAACTACAGTATTCCGAGGAATGATTGGACATAGCATGGTTAACAGTAAAATACTCCTCTTAAAGAAGCCAAGAGTCTGGTGGGAACTAGAGGGCCCCCAAGTACCCCTGCGCCCGGACTGCCTTGCTATTATCAATAACTTCGTGTTCTTGTTGGGTGGGGAAGAACTGGGCCCAGATGGTGAATTCCATGCTTCTTCCAAAGTGTTCAGGTATGACCCCAGACACAACTCTTGGCTCCGGATGGCAGATATGTCTGTACCGCGTTCAGAATTTGCAGTTGGTGTTATTGGGAAGTTTATTTACGCTGTAGCAGGCAGAACCAGAGATGAGACTTTCTATTCAACTGAGAGATATGACATCATCAATGATAAATGGGAATTCGTGGATCCTTATCCAGTTAACAAATATGGACACGAGGGGACAGTGCTCAATAACAAGTTGTATATCACTGGTGGAATCACCTCATCATCCACCTCCAAGCAAGTGTGCGTCTTTGACCCCAGTAAAGAAGGGACCATAGAGCAACGGACCAGAAGAACTCAAGTTGTTACCAACTGCTGGGAGAACAAGAGCAAGATGAATTACGCAAGATGCTTTCACAAAATGATCTCTTATAATGGCAAGCTTTATGTCTTTGGTGGTGTCTGTGTGATCTTGAGGGCCTCTTTTGAATCTCAGGGCTGCCCTTCCACAGAAGTGTACAACCCAGAGACTGATCAGTGGACCATCTTGGCATCCATGCCAATTGGTAGAAGTGGCCATGGTGTGACTGTGCTGGACAAACAAATAATGGTTCTTGGAGGCCTTTGCTACAACGGTCATTACAGCGATTCCATTCTCACTTTTGATCCAGATGAAAACAAGTGGAAGGAAGATGAGTACCCGCGAATGCCCTGCAAGCTGGATGGTTTACAAGTGTGCAACCTGCATTTTCCAGAATATATACTGGACGAGGTCAGACGTTGTAACTAATGACATCTCTCTCACTTCAAAGCCAAACAAAAAATTTGTTTGTGACAGAGTAGTTAATTAAAAACATAAGAAAAACCTCACCAGTTTTACTATCAAAGCCATTGGTCTAATAGCATAAAAATTTTTCATTCTGTGCTAGCATCCGTTGTTTTCTTTTTTAGTGGCCTCAAACTCATGCAATAAGTTAGTTCTAAGCACTAGCTCTTGAAACTACTTCCTGAATCAGTTTAATAGAATGATACACTTATCTGGGAAGCTGATTTTATGCTTTAAACATTTCTCTCAGATGTCACTGTAGGAGTCATGCATCTTCTAAGAGAAGACCTGATAAGTGTCACTTGATGTTATTTCAGTTCCTATCTTGATCTGAAATCTTTTTGAACATTTATTTCAGTCCGTTAGACCTTTTGGTTTTATTGTTTAAGTTTAAAACTCTTGCCCTTTTTGCATGGCTTTTTGCTGAAAATGCAAAAATATAAATTTTCTACAAAGTTAACTTTTTATATTCAAAACACTATTTCTAAGCTGCCTTCTCTTATCTGCATTGTGTTAGTGAAAGCGTACTCATACGTGCATACATCTTATGAATATATAAGGCACATCCTCTTTTATGCGTGGTTAGTATTCTATATTTTTAAGCTAGTGCACTTGCACACACACAGTTTGCCATACTTGTTGAATTTTAGATGTAATGTCTTTTCATGTATTAACATTTTTAGAAAGTTAAAATAACTGGAGTCCTCATTTGGTGTCAAAATAGTCTATCTTCAGTCCATACTGATTCAGTAATATTTGAACTCCTCATATTCCTGAAACATGTATGGATTTATGGAAACTAACATTTTATATTTTATTTTCAAAAGTAAACGTTAGTGTTCTTATCGATGTATGTCTTCTTTTTGAACATGTTTTTCTTTGCAGTCTGTTTAACGTTGCCCTGTTTTTAGTGAGAATTGGAATGATATATGACAAGCCCTGGCCCTGCAGCTTGCAAGCACTTTTAAAGAGAATTTAGGTAATACCAGACTTCTAAATAAGGCCCCTTAAAAGTAAGTGCAACTTCCATTCTTTACATTTAGTAAGGCTGCTGCATCTGTTATTGAATGGAAAGTAGCAACTTGTGGAAAATTTGAGCTCAGTTTTTGACTTAGAGTTAAGGAATAGAATTATAATCTAACTGGTCATATCTATTTGTTTATTTAGTACAAAAAATTTAGCGGCACTGGGATATAAGCCCTCAGCTTTTGTTTTGTTTTCTGAAAGCTACTAGCATGAAGGACAGTAACCTCAAAGAGAATGGATGGAGAATAACTGTTAAAAAGCATTTATAGTAAGTGTTTTAGGATTAGCCGCACCTTTCAACTCGAAGGAAAAACAAATGGTTGAAAAAGTTAAGAAGAATAATCAGGGAATGGTTCATTCAGATTGATGCCATTTTTTCCCCCGAGTAGAGTCTCTAGCTGATACATACTAGATCTACACTGGCAAAACTTGCCAGATCTTAGGATATTGGTGCAATATTGCAATGCCTTCTGTATGGCTGTTGTATAAATTGTCTAGTTTCACTTTTTTTTGCTGCTGCCACCACTGAACATGAGATAGAAGAGTGAAGTCATGGAAATGTGAAGACTTTTCTTTTGTTTTGCAGTTAAATGAGACAACTATTATTTTAATACTCCAAAATTGGAGGTGTTTGGGTTTAAGAAACAGGTACAAAAGTAGTTTTTGAAAAAGAAAAACATTGGCATTGGTTTTAGAAGTCAAATTGCTGTTCTTTTGTATATGAGACTTAAATTTTTATTAGATGATTCTATCATTTGCTTTCTGTTTTTAAAAATGAAACTCGATACCATTTCCCATGGTAATATTTTCATTTAAAAAATCATTTCTAATTTGACTTTTGAAAACTAGGATTAGCTAAGTCATTTAATTCTTTTTCTAATATATTAGTTGGTTTAGTGTTTTGTATGTCTGCTGCTTGCTTTAAAGGAAATAACAATGTCTTCACCATTTTCCTCATTGTTGTCTTTTGCTGGAAAAGACTGAGACAGGGTACCCTTCATCAGGCTTTTTACACTCCAGTGGTGGTTCTCTTAATTGCTTAGATATGACTTCATAGCCCTAGTTAAGGTAAGATCTGGGCAAACAGTTGAAATTCTTGGTTTTCCATTCTAAAGTCAGAAGGCCAAGGTCAAAGCTCATGTTTTGGAAAATTTGTGAAATCGTAACTTGAAGTAACTCTGGGTTCAGCTTCACACTTAAGTCATGTCTGACCTGATGTTAGCTGTAATCAGTTTTAAGCTTTAAGAATAGTTGCTATTGCTTGGGTTCTTTATGAATGTATGAGAAAATTCTTCTGTTTATATGTAGAGCTAATTTAGGTTCTTTTAAATCCATGATAACTTACATTCCCTTTTCAAGTTATGGTTTAATTGCTGAAAGAGATTTATTTTTGTTATACTAAACTATGGAAAATTTTCATAGTTTTTTTTCAAGTTTATTTTTTGTGTGCTTCATTTGAAACCATTTTTGTTTGTATACATGGTATGTGTTCAAGATAGTAGTTCTTAAAAAATTCAGTAAGAGATTTGAAACTATTCAGTGTAACTGTTGTGATCTTTGTGTGTTATTTTTCACTTTACATTTTAAATGCCAGACTTTACAAAAATAGCTGATCTTCATTAGTTGCATCTTAATTAGAAATGTTTGTTCTCTTCCATGTCTTTGACCTAAGTTTTGACTTTAATCTGCTTAAAGAAAATTCTTGCACTACAACCTTTTCATAAAACTCAAGATTGTCTCATTGAAGGTTTTGTATTGGAAAAAATACTACTGGTTTTTTTTTTAAAGCAAAGCTTAATTAATAGAATTATTAGCTTTTGAGACAGCTTTCTCTGTGTCCTCATTACTCTGCTCTGTGTGAGTGTTACTATAATTTGTGAAATATTGACTGAGCCCTTCACTTATCTTTTCTAAAGCAGCACCTTTGGACACCTCATTCTGGGAAGCCTGCTCGAGTCATAGTAAAGGACACACATTTGTATGGGGAGAAGTAAAAATGGAGAGTTTTGTCTTAATTACAAGAAACTAAGCTTTAAAATATTTTATAACAAATTATTTGAGCTGCATAATCTAAACATGTCAAACGTTCAGTGGGACTATTTTTATATATGTATATGTGGTTGTAGGTCATAACATTTCAGTTTATAATATAAATTGTTATTTCAGTTTATAAGCTATCTCTCAAAAAAGGCTAGCTCTTTTGAGAATACATAATTTAAAGTTTTAGATTGAAGTGAAACACAACATAGATAATAGTGAAATTAGATATAATCGAGGGCTATATAGCAGTAAAACTGCTAGTGCCATTTTTTTGTTTGCCTATTATACATTTTTTGATTTTTTTTGTACTCAACATTTTTAGGGATCATACATTTGTTCGATTGGATTAGAGTTGGTTTGGGAATAAATATCTTCTAAAAAGAGATTTATCTTAAAAACACAAGTCCCAGGAAATTCGTTTATTGAGAGTTTATAAAGTCAAATATTCAATAGACATAGAACGGAGTAAGTAAACTCATGGAAGTCAGATCCTTTCAATATATCAGTATAACTTCAATATTACACGAGTAACACTAATGAGAATGCCATCAGCTTGGTTTGTTCCCCCTAATATTCTTGGATTTTCTTTTTACATCTTTGGGAACAATTGCATTAAAAAAAACTTATTAATCAGTATACTAGTAAGGATTAGGAGTTTGCTTTCTGAAGGAATGTTCCTGTGAGGTGGTTGGAGAGGTTATTTTCTACCTAACTTGTATATGCCCTATACCTTTTGGGCATATTTTGTCTATTAGAAAAATATTTTGACCTTTAGGTACATTTTGGGCCAACAGTCAAATAATCCTAGGACATTAAAAAAATCTTAGAATAATTTAAGGTTTGCCTTTTATACCTGTTTTGAAAGCCTTTACATTTTTGTCAGGTAATTTTTCCCAAACCGTGAATATAATCTATTCAAACATGTTTATGCTATCCATTCTGTTTTTAAATTGAAAAAAATGTTAAAAGTGTTTATGAAGAAAAGTTTAAATAAAATATTTTTCATCTTTAAAACATACTTCTTTATCTCTTATTATTTACTATCTTTAATCCATCACTGTCAGAGTCACTCATGACTTGTTAGCATTTCCATTTTGTTTTCCTTCAATGTGCCAAGGAAGTGCCACAAAAATGTGATCTCTACTGATGCTTTCAGCCACAGATTCAAATGAGAGCATTAGAGTGAATTATTTACACTTACATACTATGGAAATTTTGTAATGAAGCCAAGTAATTAAAGTTCCACTAACACAGAGTTTTGCAGAGTGGAAATAGAGAATTGAGAGAAAGCATTTGCAAGCCTCAAGCCTTAGTTTGGTAATTTTTAGGTTTCCCTTAGCATTTTTGATTCATTGTTCTTAAAGGCATTTCTAAAAATAGGAAATAGGCAGGAATGAATCTGCTATATCACAAGCACTTGGATTTACATAGGCCAGTGTGTTACTCCTTTAAAATGGACTCCTGAGACACCTCAGCAGGATTCCCTGGATCCTGGCCTCAAGCTACCTCTCCAGTCTCCCCCTCTGTCACTTCCTACATATACTCCCTTATGTTGTGATCTTTGTGTGTGAATTTCCAGCCTCAAATTACTTGCTTTCTTTCCCTTTCTCTGCTTCCAAAATGCACTTCTTTTTCAATGCCCAACTCAAATGCTTTCCTCCCCTCTTGCAACCTGTTCTCTCCATTGAATTAATTGCTTCTTCTACACTCAATACATTTATAGTTCTTATTTCATTTTGCATAATAGCGGGGTATAATTCATTCTCCACACCTAGATCATAGTCTCAGATGAAAGGACCTTTTTTATTCCTCTTTGTACCCTCTTATCTAGCATGACACGTGTTTTACACAATAGGCACAGAGTTCTATATGTTTACTGCAGCATGTGACAAATTCCATGTGAGTTCCAGACAGATGCTATAAGCATTTGGAAGAAGGAGATGCTAATATTAGTTCCCTAGGGATTTTGTCTCTGCTTCCTTTTCTGTCTACTCCTTGTCCAGTCTCATCCACACCTGTGGCTTCACCTACAACTTTTATTCTGCTACCTGCCAAATCTTTATTTCTCAACTCAAGAGTTCCACCCATTGAACATTTCCCCCATGTTTTATCGGAATTTCAAACTGAACAAGTATAAACCTGAATACATTATCTCCTTCCCAAAACCCTGCCCCTTGTCCTGTATTTTCCTGTATTATGATTGGTTCTATCATTGTCTGGGACTGTTCAAGTTGAAAACCTGGCAATTGTATACTAATGCCTCTTTCCCCTCTTCAGCTCAACATCTGGGTTCATCCAGTCCTATCAGTTTAAGCCAGTGGTTCTCAACCTGTGGGTCACGACCCCTTTGGCGGTCGAACAACCCTTTCACAGGGGTCGCCTAAGACCATTCTGCATATCAGATATTTATATTACGATTCATAACAGTAGCAACATTACAGTTATGAAGTAGCAACGAAAATAATTTTATGGTTGGGTCACAACATGAGGAACTGTATTTAAAGGGCCAGAAGGTTGAGAACCACTGGTTTAAGCCCTTGCCCTCCCCTCTCCATTCATACTTCCCTCATTCAGGCCCTTGTCATTCTTGCTGGCCTCTGGGAGCTTTCTTTCTGATCTTCTACCTCCACAATTCATTTTCTCTACTGCTGCCAGAGGGAGCTTCCAAAACATAAATCTGAACCTGGGATTCAACTGCCTTTAATAATCTCCCTTAATCTTGAGAATAAGATCCAAACTTTCTAGCCTGCCACACAAGGTCCTTCATGTTCTACTCGCTTTGTACCTATTCGGTCTCTTTTATCCTATATTCTAGCAATGCAAGCTCCTTGGAGTTCCCTGAATACAACACATCTTCTCTAGCCTTTCTGCCTTTGTACATGCCCTTCCCATCTTCCTTTCCTGGCTAAGCCTTTCTTGGCCTTCCAGAACCAGCCTGGGCATCGTAGCCTCTGTCAAGTCTTTGGGGGAGGGGGGAGCAGGATTTTATGATTTTATTAACAAAATACAATGTGTGTACAATCTGTCTTCATTTTTTTCACTGTTCAGCCTGGCATTGGGATTGGTGACTCTGATGGCCAACTGGGCTGCTCTCCACAATGGCTTTGCGATTCTTTGGGGAGACGTGATCAATCTCAGCACAGTGAGATCTGTTGCACATCAAGCAGCACTCCTAGCTGTTGTGAACCAGAAACTTCTGAAAGCCACTGGGCAGCATGTGCTTTGTTTTCTTGTTGCTCCCACAACCAATGTTGGGCATCAAGATCTGGCCCTTGAATCTTCTGCACACCCTATTGTCAGTGCCTCTGGGTTTCCACCAGTTCCGCTTAATTTTGGCATATCAGACTGACTGGTGCCGGGTGAACTTCTTGGCCCTCTTTTTTACAGTCTTGGGGGTTTCATGAGGGGTCTGAGAGCAGCCATGGTGCCAAGTAGGAGATGGCTGCCACCTTCATAGGCAGTGCCGAGGAAGAGACTCCATCAAGTCTTCCTTAAACATTTGGGCCAGATTAATTATGCCCTTGATCTTACTATAGTACCTTGTGGATACCTAGACCCCCACCTCCTCTAACTCTTGATTTCTCTATCCCACCTTTAACTGTACTCTGAGGGCAGATACTGTGTCTTTTTATCTTGATTTTCCGTCTGGCACATGGCAAGCCCTCCTTAATAAAAATAGAACCCAGAAACTTGGAAGGTCACCAATGAAATGCTCCTGGTGAGGAGGGGCAGCTATATTAGAGAGCTTGATTGTCTGCCAACATTGACCTCCCTGAGGAATTCTCTCCGTTCATTTTCACTACCACTGCTCCCCTGTCTGGAAGGTTGATGCATATAGCTATCACAGTTGTCAACAGATACTTCTTCCCTCAACATCTCAGTATTTCTGAACCAGGCTGAAAATTTTAAGTGAAATAGACCAAAAGCAAATCATTAATCCTCATGGCATGCTCTGTGACAGAAAAAAAGTGTTCAGTGGTGACAATAATCTTAAGAAACACTACATAAAATTTATTTTTCTTAGAGAATCTCAACAAACAGCATATTAAAGTCTCTGAGAAATCCTGATGTTAACTCATTTTGATGTTGTTTAGCTCAGTGTAAACCAAACATTTGACCACTTTTTGACATTGAATATATATGATCCATGAATGTTCTTGAAAAAGCCAGGCTAAGGTGTCAGGGAAAGAAAAGAAGGACCACTAATTCAGATACTCTCATCTACAAAATAGGCCTGCCTCCTGTAGGTCCAGTTAGTTTTCAGGCTGAAGTCAACATTTAGCCAAGTTGACATTACCCTGGCGTTTTCACATACCAAGGAAGGTACCACCTTCTCATCTTAGGAGTTGGATGAAATTGTACAATTATTTGTACAACTTGTATAGTTTAAGGAGCAGGACATCCAAAATGGCCATAACTTCCAGCAAATTCTCTCCCCAAAAAGCACTGATAAAACTGAGCAAACTTGTCAAAAAATGTAAAGACTGAAAATTGACCATAGGCATACAAATTGAGAAGCATTTATTCAAGAAAATGTACTATCCTATATAATAAAAGTGTAATATGCTAAGTGACCAATCAGTTAACTGGTAGACTGCTCAACCAGTTGCTATGATGCACACTGACCACCAGGGGGTAGGCGTTCCCACCAGTAGGTTAGCTTGCTGCTGGGGTCCAGCTGATTGGGACTGGGCGAGAGGGCTGGACATGCTCTGGAGCCCTCCTGCGCGGTTCCTCCCTGGCTGGCCGGCCCCCGTCAGCCCTGATCCCCGGCCAGGCCGAG